GGTGCGCAAACTGAAAAAGAAGGTTGCGGTGAAGCGCAAGAGCCAGTTGGAGGTCAGCAAGGAGCGCGAGGATGAATGTTTCTTCTGTGGTGATGGCGGGCAGATTGTGTCTTGTAAGAAGCCTGGCTGCCCCAAGGTCTATCATGCCGACTGTCTGAATCTGTCCAGGAGACCTGCAGGTGAGTGACTCATTTTCAAATAGCACGAGTCACTTTTAACTATTTTGTTTTAACATGTTTCATTGTCAAGGTATTTGCCTTGTTCTGAAGTTTATGATGTGTTTCTTTCATGGTGAGCTCTATTTTTCTTTTGTTTTTATGTATTTTGTATTAAAACAGGAAGTTGGGGTGTCCTCTAAAAACCAACAACAACAAAAAAGATGAAAGCCTTTAGTTTACACTAATGTTTAAAAGTTTAGGAGAAATCTTTAATGTTGAAAGAAAATTGTGTTAATGAATGTTAAAGAAATCTCTTATGCTTACCAAGGTTGCAATTATTTGACCAAAATATAGTAAAAAGTAATATAACAGTAATATTGTGAAGTATAGTTACAATTTTAACGGTTTTAAATATATATATTTTTTAATGTAAAGTTTTATTTATTCCTGTGTTGGCAAAGTTGAATTTTCAATAGCCATTACTCCAGTCGTCAGTGTCACATGATCTTTCAGAAATCATTCTAATATGCTGATTTGGTGCACATGAAACATTTCTTAGTATTATTAATATTGTTCTGCTTAATATTTTTGTCGAAATGGAAAGTTCAAAATAATAACATTTATGGAAATAGAAAGTTCAAAAGAACAACATTTTATTTGAAATTAAATTTTTTTGTAACAAATTGTAAAAAATTTTTTATTATTATTTATTTATAACCCCTCAAACTGTGGCAAAACAATGGTTTTGCTGCTTGCTATTACTAGTTTGAGACAGGACGTATTTTATATAATTTTTTATATAAATTGACCCTTATGAATGGTTTTGTGGTCCAGGATCACATATTTGTTTTTTCTTTCTGGTTAAAACTATGGCTATCAATAGAGGAAAATAATCACAATTAATCTCCTGATTTCTTACCAGTCTATAGAAAGCATGGTAATACAAAACTTGAAATGTTTTTAAAAAATTGTTTTAACTTAACATATTTAAAAACAAACAGTAAAACATTCACTTTACTTTTACAAACTGTTGTTTGCTTAAATTCTTTTCAGCATTTTAAAGGAATTTTCTTGCTTTAGTAATGGTAAATAATTGAAAAACTCTCCCACTATTGGCTATTCGGTCAGCTCGGGATTTTATTCAAGCTAAATCATGATTGAATCTGCCTTATATGCATTTTTCAGGCCGCTGGGAGTGTCCATGGCATCAGTGTAATGTGTGTAGAAGGGAGGCGGCGTCCTACTGCGAGATGTGTCCCAACTCCTACTGCAAACAGCACCGTGAGGGAATGCTGTTCATATCCAAACTGGACGGCAAGCTGTCCTGCAGCGATCATGACCCATGCGGCCCCGATCCTCTGGAACCGGGTGAAATTCGAGAGTACGTGCCCGGTACACCTATCCTACCCCCTCCGCCCAATATGTCAGTGTCAGGCAGAATACCCCTGCCTGCCTTACCGCCTGCTGCTCCGCTCTTCATTCCCGCCCCCAGCAGACCTGCGTTCCAAGCCCAAAGAGACCCGTATGCAGACGAGGTAGTGGACAATGTGGTTTTGCCATCCTCTTCTCCTAAGGACATCAAGGAGGAAGATATGAGCGATGAAGGCGAGGTGATGGAAGGGGTGATCGGGGATGAAGGGGAAGATGAAGGCCTTGAGGTCGTGGATGATGATGAAGAAATGGACTACGGAGGGATGGGATTCGAAGACGAGGAGGAAGAAAAGGAAGAGGAGGACTGGGGAGATGAATATGTGAATGATGACTTCGAAGACACTGAGGACTTGGGGGAAGTGGAGGGGGACGACCAGGAATCATCATGGGATGAGTTTGTCGAAGGAGAAAAGTGAGCTCTGCTGCATTTATGCTAGACATCCATCTCTCGCACACAAACTCTCTCTGATGGGCACAGCAGGTGGCCTGTAGGGAAAGTCAACTGCCGTTTTTCCGGTTGGTGCCCAGCTGAACTTTTGAGAATGATGGACATCAGCTTGCCTTCTCAACCCAAGTCCTCTTGGAAAAGTCCATAAAGAGGGTTGGACCTGGTGCTGTGGGACTGTGACTTTTTTTTCAGTCCTTTTGTTGGAATTTAATTAGTGTCTGGTGCTCTTTTGTGCTTTTTTTTACATTTTCCTCCTTGACTTGTTTACATTCTCTGATTTACACAGAAAGATGACCTCACGGAGGATTGAAATGGGGCACCACAAACCATACGGTTGTGTCTTAACGAAATCTGCATAGATTTTGATTACGCTTCATTGACATAGAAAAGAGAACATAAAGCAGCAGATAAGTAATGTTTAGTCCCTTCACCAGGTGATTACATAGCTACATCATTAGGCCAAAAATGGCTCCACGGGTCACGGTACTGGAAATTATTTCTTCAGGTCTGTCTGTTAGTATCACAGAGTGGCTACATGAGAATGAATAATAGGCAACCTAGTACATTTTTTAGCTGATTTGTGAATGAAAAAAAAAAGAGTAGTACTATCAAAAAGGACAAGGAAGTATGACATTCCCAGCATCATCCTGCTTCATTTCAATCATGCACTTTTTTGTTGCATTTGTGTTTGTCATTTTACTTCAGACAATATGTCAAGACTAAAGAAACTTAGTCGTTTTAAGTTTTTGTAAAGTCTAGAGGAGTGATTGTATCACCTTTCATTCTCCATGCTTGTGGCCTTTGAGTCTTGAAAGCTTTTAGGAAAGATGAGTTTGTACTTCTTAGATAAGATGGATGTTACAAAAGACCTATTTGTACTTTCTCCAGTTACTTAAACTCAACCACCATCTCAAAATACTGTTCAAAAATCTCCAGATGCCTCATTGCAGTAACCATTCAGAATGTCAGAGAATGTTGACACGTTGTGTTACAAATCTGCGGGTTATGTTTTCCTGCTATTTGTATTTGTATGTGTCTATGAGCAGGTTAACTTTAAAAGGTGCCTCTGAATGTTTTGCACTCTTTCAGAGATCAGGAGAAATTCAAAGCGTCTTTTATATTCATGAATCCAAGCTGTTCATTCAACATACTGTGTTGATCTGCCTGATGAAACTTATGGCAGTTCATTGTTGGCTGCTTTGTCATCCTCTATTAAGACTCAAGCAATCATATTTATTTAAGGGATGCAGACAACCCCTTAAAAATGCATATTTAGACAAATAAATGCCCTAAATGATTTTTATTTTCATTACAGATATCATCATACTGGAGCCTATTTTTGTTTCCAGTAGTCATATTTTGGTTTAATTTTGCAACATTATGATTTATGAACCTATATGAAAATTTCCCTCACCATCACTTGATTCTCAAAAATTATGAAAGCACCTTTTGTTTTAAACATCGTTGTGCACCAGGTACAATTCCTGATTGAAAAACTGCCTCATGTAATGAAGTAATGTTCATATTCACAGAACCTTTTTGGAACCTATTTCCATCACTGATATTGTACAATATGTTTTCAATGCCTTTAGGCCTTACACATTATTTCTGATTCTGTAACTTTGCAACCTAATCACGCGGATGCTTTTTTTAAAAAGCTTTTTTTTTTCTTTAGCATCATCATCAACCTTTGTACTTTGCTTAGCTCTGTGTTTCTTCAAACTTTTTGTCTCTTTGTATTTATGGTCCTTGTATAATCTTTTTCACTCGTTTTTTTGTTCCTTGTTTCTTGTATGTTTGTTAAATATGCTGCTGTGTTTCAGCGCTATGGGCCCTTGACACCATGAACAGAACGAAATGCAGATGAGAGTTTCCTGACGACATTTGGGCAAAAAGTTTGCTGCCATGTTAGAGACCCATGACTTTGTACTGTACCATAATAAATATTATAAGTAAAATTTTACAATAGACAGCATTTTTTTCTGTTTTTTATCAGCCGTCCTTATGAGGTATATGTGGATCAAACTAGATATAGTTAATAAAGGCTGAAATTTCAAATGCACAACAATAATTGCTGACAATGTTTCGATCGAAAAATTACAAAATCAATAGAGCGTTACATATTTGTGTACAAATGCTATCTTTCTTAGACATTTTCCTAGTTTTTCCCTTAATGTTTTTAAAAACCAGCGTACATTTCCATACCACAAATAAAACTTATTGTTGTAAAAACCAGTTATACGTTACAATATTTTTTTGCTGTGGATCCTACGAAAAGCCCCTGGACCACAAAACCAGTCTTAAGTTGCACGGGTATATTTGTAGCCATAGCCAAAACTAGTCTTAAGTCGCTGGGGTATATTTGTAACAATAGGCAAAAATACATTGTATGGGTCAAAAGTATTGATTTTTCTTTTATGACAAACATCATTAGGATATTAAGTAAAGATCATGTTCCGTGAAGATAATTTGTAAATGTCCTACCGTAAATATATCAAAACTTAATTTTTGATTAGTAATATGCATTGCTAAGGACTTCATTTGGACAACTTTAAAGGCGATTTTCTCAATATTTTGATTTTTTTGCACCGATCCCAGGTTTTCAAATAGTTTTATCTCGACCAAATAGTTACCTATCCTAACAAACCATACGTCAATGAAAAGCTTATTTATTCAGCTTTCAGATTATGTATAAATCTCAAATTCACAAAATTGACCCTTATGACTGGATTTGTGGTCCAGGGTCACATATGTTTATATATCTGAAGTGCATGAGTACAAGCATATTTCCTCAGATATTTGTTAATTATAGTTTGTTTTAAACTAGAACTCTTCTAGTTTGCTGGTTTTATAGACACTTTAAACCAGTTAAGACCATTAAAACTGGCCCATGTGTCATTTGTACTTGCGTGTCAAAAGTGTTCAATAGTATCGTTTGTGCTTTGTTGCTCTTATCACTGAGGTAAAACCATTTACCACTCCAGGCCGCATGTGGCAGCAGAGCGTCAAACACGAACATCGCTCCAGAAGAACAGATTCATTGCATCGCTTCAGGGACGTCTGCTGGTGAAGTGGTGTCAAAACAGGCAAGAACATCATGTCTTTTTTTAATTTACGCGTTTGATATAGCCTTCTAAAATTCGTTCGAGGTCAGCACTAGACTGACATGCTTTAATAGCTTCGTTAGTGTCAAAGTACATGTTGAATTTGCGAGTTTTAGACTCGTTCTTACGGCTAGATATATTCCCGGCTATGCTAACAAGCTAACTGATTGTTTTGATCATACAGTTGCTCATTTCAGTGCACAAGTTTAGTGATTATTACAGTTTTCTTAAGTTAGACATACCATGTCTTTGCAGTGTATTATTTAAACAGTTAAAACAAATTGAGAATAATAGCTGTTGGCTATTTTAGCTCATCATTTTGCAGTGTTTGGGCTGCATAGCTCTGACCCTGGCAGAGGCTTTTATATATTTGTTTTAAACTGAAAAGTTCAAGGACGTTTATTCATGTTTATATTCATTCAGAGTCCTTTATGACTGATTAATTATGCGTTAATACAGTATTGCATTTTAGAGTGACATTTTATTCCAGTTAAGGTTAGTTGGGTACAAAGCATTTCAGTCTTTTTAGGCTGTTTATTTTTATGACAACAGGCCTGTAAGCCTAAATCCTTGGAATTATATCCTATGAGTGCCTGCTTAGGTTAAAATGACATATTGATTGGTATTGTATGTCTAAAATTTAGGAACCCTAAGATTTTTTTTTACCTAATGTTTGAGTCAGACTTTTGGCTCAGATTTTTGATCAGATCTTATCGCTGGAAATCATTTACTGACCCATTGGCTTGATTTAATCAGCACTCAGTCACAAACAAGTTGTTAGCTGTGAGGACCATTCAGACGTTTCATATGATTCAAACATATGACTCTTAACAAATTAATTTGACAAATTAGCTCTTCTGAAGTGCTTGGTAAAAATCTAGCCATTTATAAAAACACAATTAAACTTCTATTCTGCTGTAATTCACTGTGTGTCATGATTGACCACACCATACCAAACCACAGTATTTGCGCACCTTGACAAATTTGTTATAATTATTATTTTTTTTCTACTAATACCTCGAATTGACCAACTAAAGAACACAAGATCTATGCAGGGTTTATAGTAGTAGGATTGTAATCTGTATATGAGGTTGATTTTTATGTTTTCCTGTTTTGCAGGACATTGTGTGTGTGTGTGAAAGCTGTAACGCTGTGCTGATGGAGCAGTGTGCTTGTGTGGAACGGGAGCTCGAGAAGGTGCTACACAGGTTTGTCACATATGGACATCAGTCAGAGGAAAGGCTGGATGAACTCCTGAGGAACGTCTGTGAGCTAAGAAGTCGATTGGTTGCCTATGGTGAGCTTAGAATCCACTTGAATACCAAATTTTGGGCTTTGGTGCAATACGATCATCTAGGAGTTTGGTTTCTATATCTTAGGCAATAAATCAGCCATGGGTACCTGATGAAGTGAAGGCTTGGAGATTTGATCTGATGGCACACATGGCAGAATATGTGAAATAAGTATAAAGAAACTGGACAATATGAAATCTTGTTTCTGCCATAGAATAAAAAAATTAAAAAGGTAATTGCAACTTTATCTCACTTTATCTCTCGATTCTGAGTTTTTTCAATTCTTAGTTTATATCTTACAATTCTGACTTTCTCAAAATTGGAAGATTATATCTCACATTTCAGACTTTTCTTCTCCTCAGAATTTTATGTCTATATAATTATAATTGTGAGATAAACTTGCAGTTCTGAGCAGTCAGAAGTGTGAGATATAAACTCGCAATTGTAAGAACAAAAGTCAGAATTTTGAGATGAAAAAGTTGCATTTACATTTTTTTCCCATGTTATCAGTTGTCAGTTTGTGTGAGAGAGTGATTCATAAGTCGGTGCTGGTACATGAAAACAAGACTAAAGAGGAGGAGGAGGAGGAAGTCAACCAAGTGCCTTACAGCTTTGAAAAAAGCCAATTCAGTGACATTAAGTCATGAACAATAGGTGTACTTTAGATGCCTGCATAAATAATAGCCTGCAGTGCAAACACCATGTTATCAGTTGTCAGTTTGTGTGAGAGAGTGATTCATAAGTCGGTGCTGGTACATGAAAACAAGACTAAAGAGGAGGAGGAGGAGGAGGAAATCAACCAAGTGCCTTACAGCTTTGAAAAAAGCCAATTCAGTGACATTAAGTCATGAACAATAGGTGTACTTTAGATGCCTGCATAAATAATAGCCTGCAGTGCAAACAAACATACAAAAACACAGGAAAAACTGCATTTAGCTGTATAACCTCTAGCCCACACGTTAGATTTGTAGATGGTTATATAAGCATAACTCTGTTACAGAGATGAGTCACAGTAGCATATGTCTGTTTAGATCAAAGTTCACTGAGTTGTTATATTTCATCATACTCTGTTTCAACTCTAGGTGTTCAAGATGCAGATTTGTCAGTGCTCCATCAAACAGTGGCCCAGTGCTGCAAGGAAATCAAAGAAACCGTGCAGATGCTTGCCTCCAGGCACAAAGACATCCATGGCAGTGTGTCAAAAGTGGGGAAAGCAATTGACAGAGTAAGAATCAAGTATTAAATGGACATTAAATTTAACAACAGTTTATCTTAATCAGGGTCTCCCAAACTGGGGGTTGTTTATGATAAATATTTAAATTCTAGAAATGGAAAATTTTAATTTTAAAATAAAAACAAAAAGACATCCTAATGAAAGATAAAATATATTATGTTTGTCTGAATAAATATCTTCATATAAATCTTCAATCCCGTTCTTCCTCTCTTTTCCTAGTAGTTTACAGTTGCGTTGTACATTTTCTGTCTGTTAAAAGTGAAAATGTGTACCTGTATGATGATAAAATTAGACTTGTGGTAAATTTTTTTTCGTAAATCAATCACCTCAAAGGTTTATGTTTAATATGTTTCTTTTAAATGCTGTTTTCTTGCACAGAATTTTGATGCGGAGGTGAGTGCAGTTGTAGCTGAGAATGTCTGGGACTCTCCAGAGAGGCAGAAATACCTCAGTGAAACCATCGTAGAACATCTTTATCGACAAGGCATGTTGAGTGTTGCAGAGGATCTCTGTCAGGTAGGATTTCCTTTGTATTATTAATAAATACTGTAAATATGAGTGTGCATTTCTGTAAAAATAGCTGTAATTCACATTTATGTTCACTTGTGAGTTTTTCAGCTCTTGTATTTTGTTGACGATTTGACCCCAGCACTAACATGTAGTGTTTCAATCTGACTTGACAGGAGTCTGGTGTAGTAATCGACATGAGCATGAAACAGCCATTTCTGGAGCTCAACCGCATTTTAGAGGCTTTAAGAACACAAGATCTCAGACCAGCTTTAGAGTATGTATCACATCCTTCTACTTTCTACTTCTCGCTTTTATTTTTATTTTTTCCCCCATGTACACGGCCTTTCAAAAGTTTGGGGTCAGTAAAGTTTTTTTTTTTTTTAAAGAAATTAATACTTTTATTCAGCTAGGTCACATTAAATCAATCAAAAGTGACGGATATCTATAACGACATTTATAATGTCACAAAAGATTTCTGTAATAATAATAATGAGCTAATGAGTTTTAAACATTGATAATAAGACCCTAAACCTTTGGATTGTATATCTGTCCACATCCTCTCAGTCTTTAAACATACACTGGATTTTTTTCAGAACAATGAATTTGATTGGGTGTGGCTTGAATATGTGGATTGTAGATTTAAGATTACTAGTTGTAATTGTTTGTTTGGTTGTATGATTGCTGTGGTAGGTGGGCGGTGACAAACCGTCAGCGGCTGCTGGATCTAAACAGCACCCTTGAGTTCAAGCTCCACAGACTCTATTTCATCAGCCTGCTCAACGGGGGCATCAGCAAACAGCAGGAAGCTTTACAGTACGCACGGCATTTCCAACCGTTTGCCTCGCAGCATCAGAGAGGTGAGGAAAGGTTCAGTTCAGATTTCATGAACCACAACAAGGCTTTAGTTTTGTAAACATATGGGTGGAACTGAAGCACCATTGAGGCTGTTTTACCAGTAACATCATTGATGCAATTATTTTGTTCTGTATTACACTACCTGACTGACTCAATGTTATGACCAAAGTCTGGGATGACATCTGAGGCTTGTTTGTGTGTGCTTACTAGATATTCAGATCTTAATGGGTAGTCTAGTGTACCTCCGCCATGGGATTGAGAACTCTCCGTACCGCAGTCTGCTGGAGACAGATCAGTGGGCAGAGATCTGTAACATCTTCACACGAGATGCTTGCGCTCTTCTTGGACTCTCTGTGGAGTCCCCACTCAGTGTCAGGTCTGAAAAAAACTCTGCTACAGTCTGCTTTTACAAGTCCTAAGATTTCTACTGATCCTGTAGAATTTTCAATATGGTCCCTAACCAATAATTAAATAGATGGCAGGACTATTTTAGGAACTACTGAATTCATTAATGTCTTTAAGTTTTATGCAAGTTTTACATGGTGCTCAATGGAAAGGAGTAAAACACAGGAGTCTCAAGGCATGCTTTCTCAAGTCTCAAGTTTAAACTTGAAATGCCACTTTTTGTAATGTCTATTCAGTGTTTTACTCATCTGCATAATGTACCTCTTGTCTTGCTAAAACTGGATTTATTGAATTAAAAATACAGAAAAAAGCAGTCATATTGTAAAATTATTACAATTATTGAAAATTTCTTTTTTCAGTTTAAATGTATTTTAAAGGGCTCATATGAAATTGCTAAAAAGAACATTATTTGGTGTAATGCGATGTTCACGTAGTTTAAGGTTAAAAAAACACATTATTTTCATACTGTACATTATTGTTGCTCCTCTCTGCCCCGCCTTTATGAAAAGCGCCTATTTTTACAAAGCTCATGTGGTGTGCTGTGATTGGCCAGCTATCCAGTGCGTTGCGATTGGTCGAATACCTCAAGCATGTGACAGAAATGTTACGCCCCTTACCATATTTGGGATATCAGCTTCCATGGCAGCGGCAGCAACAATACTACAGCGAGAATAAAAGTTACGCCTTCTTTCTTTGCGTATACATTTGGGTGGTGTTGTGCAAATCTTCACACAGTGTTTGAATGAGCCGTTTCAGGAAGGCGTGGATGAATCTTAACTTTTAGAAAGAATATCTCTTTTGGTTTGAGACTGTAATCTTTGCGACTTTACAGAACTTATATGCACAAAAAGCTTGTAACACTCTAAAGACAAAGGAAAACATGAAATCGAGTCATATGACCCCTTTTAAATATATTTAAAGCTGAATTTTCAGCAGCCATTACTCCAGTCTTCCAATTTTTTATGGAAGTTAAAAAGAACAGCATTAGAACAGCATTTAAAATAGAAATCTTTTGTAACATTATGAAAGCCCTTACTGTCACTTTTGATAAGTTTAATGCATCTTTGTTAAATAAGTGTAGATTCTCTTCATAGGTGGCTTTCCATACTGACATATAAGTTTAATTTGAGTTATTTGGGAAATCATATAATTAATTAGATTTAAATTAATCGATTGACAGACCTACTCTGTTTTAGACTTGCATGTTTTGAAATTTGTATTGAATGAATGATGAATGATTGATGTTTTATTACTGAATCCTCCTTTGATTTTCCATCAGTTTTGCGTCCGGCTGTATGGCGCTGCCTGTGCTCATGAACATCAAACAGGTTATTGAACAGAGACAGTGCAGTGGTGTTTGGACGCATAAGGATGAGCTGCCAGTAGGTCTCTTTCTTTCCCTTTAATGCTTTTATTCAATGATATTCCTTTTTCTGAAGGTTTCAAACATTTAAAAGGTTTTGTTGAAATCTGTTAATTACATTAATTGTTTTTACATTTACATTATAATTAGGGATGCACCAATTACTTACTAGAGCAACATTTACTGATACTAATAGTTTGGTGGTTCTGTTTTTTAAACTCTGATAATTAATTATGGAACACAAATAATTACACAACAAAATAAACTGAAGTATTTCTATAACGTTTTCAACATTTAGCTAACATAAGGTGCTTTTATAGCTTAACTTTCATAATTCAAGACCAGCAAAGATATGGAAAATAAAGTGATTTTCATTTGTCAATGACAGACAAATTTAAACCAATGAACTACCAAAATTAGGAATGATAAATTACACTTTTATTCATTTCCCTATTCAGACTGTTCACGGTTTAAAAACACAAAAATGCAAATTAAGCAAGCTTTTGATTGCAGCTGGCTTGACTAATTGCTCTGTGTCTGATAGGTGCTAGATACCTACTTTTATTTGCCAAGAACTGACTGATATATCTGCTAATTATTATTATTAATAAATGTGGTCATTTTAAATGCATTAACGCTTAATCTGTTGATCCCTGCTGTTTGTTTGTGTGTGTGTTTAGATTGAAATAGATCTGGGGAAGAAATGCTGGTATCACTCTGTGTTTGCCTGTCCTATCCTGAGGCAGCAGACATCAGAGAGCAATCCACCCATGAAGCTCATCTGTGGGCATGTCATATCAAGAGACGCGCTTAACAAACTCACCAATGCTGGAAAGTAAGACTCTGACATATGCATCACATTCTACATTACGTTTAAAGTTTAATCAAACAGACCCTAGACCTGATGCCTGATGGCTATTTAACAAGGGTTAAAGTGCAGTCTGCAGTTGTTGCTACCAGCAGTAGCACTAGTAGCCATAGTTGATTGACAGATGATTGCAAATAATTTAACTTAACTTAAGCCAGGTACACACTGTATGCTTTTATAATAGTCCCTCACACTTTATTTTAAGGTGACATTGTTATATTGTAATTACACAAATAAGTACCGAGGTATATTATTTAACTACATGTATTTAACTTTAGGGTTAGGTTTAGGTTGCTTGGGTTAGTTTACAATAGTAACAAGGTCACCGTAAAACAAAGTGTTACCAAAATAAATGTATGGAAATGAATCTTTTATGCAGTATTGATGCTGATATTCTTTGCTTACAATGTCGTAAACTCTCTCTTCTCAGGCTTAAATGCCCATATTGTCCAATGGAGCAGAATCCCTCGGATGCCAAACAGATCTTCTTCTGATGTCTTTTTTCGGAGCGTAGCCGAAAGTCGTGTTAAAGGCTTCTTGGAGCCGCTTTTCGAATGATCCTCATTCACAGGCAATGACGAGCCTTCTGTGGCGGCTTCTCCCCCGCAACGCCACCTCCCTCTCCAAAGCTTTTAGTTTACAGAGGCCGGTGGCCACGGCAACATACCTGTAGAACCCGAGTCAGTAAGTGTACCTACCGAGGAAAACGATCTTTGCAGATCATTCATTTGTTAACACAGCCTAGTATAAACAGGCTTTTACAAGAACATATGTGTGTGCATTCTGCTTCCTCTCCATTTGTTTTAATTGCAGAGTATTTTTAAGTTTCCATGGTATAACGCCTCTCTTTTTCTTTTTTTGTGACTCTTATTAAGTGAATGGGCGTGATGCATCTGTGTGGGTGACTTCTTGCCAGAATATATCCACAGTTTCCTCTTTTGAGATCACATTTAAATACATGAACAGGGATTCTTTGCACGTGTGCATGATAGAAATGGCTTTTCAGTATGTATATTAACAATGACATAAGGACTGGTGGATTATAAATGAATAACGTCTCTCTTTCCAATATAATAAAGGCTTAATTGGATCGAATGGCATTTTGATTAGTGCGTCAGTGTGAATATTCATCAGAAATCTGAGGATTTGTTTGTGCAGATTGTGATCTTGTTCCTTGCGCCCATCTGATGTCTGAGAAAGCCTCCTTGTCCAAGCCATGTGTCTTGCTCTGTGTATTTAAAAAAAAGTTGAATTAATAAACAGCAGTGATTTGTGATGGTATAACTTTTCATTAGTATAATTACATATGTAATGTATTTAAATGCACACACAAATTGTTTTATTACAGAGTTGACTGGACTTGCTGAATTAACTCTCATATCTCCAGGCTTCTCCACTTACATAATCAAAACAGATCTATGCGCTGATTCGAGAAATGCATCCTCTGCAGACAGTTGCATTAGCGATTGAACCTTTGCCAGCGTAACGTACTGAAACAATATGTCCATTAATGTACAGTTGATGGTAGACTGACTTGTTTTAATGTTACCCATCAAGACGAGAGTTTCCAGGTGTTTCCCATCATCCCTGAATGTAAAGCTCACTCTGTTTATATCTGTATAGATGAAGGGAGACGGTGGAATACTATTTTGTCCCTCAGGATGTTCTTCAAATCCTCCCTGGCGTTAACACAATGTAACTGCTAATTGTTCCGTTCCAGTTTAGGGATCGATATCTCAAAATGTGCATGCCGAAGCGGAATGTGTGGTTTGTAAATTGCCCTTTTGCAGTGATTGAATGAAAATGAAATTTGGAAACTTTGCCGGCAACATGCTCTTCTGACAGATGTGATCCAGACCTGAGACCTAGAGAGAGAAAACCTTTACCAGTGATCTTTGACTTTCTTGAAGGTCAGGCATGTACCAGCACAGCTTCGTTCTTCAGGGAATGATGTCTGATTTTTTTTTTTTCTGTCTTCTTGTTTAAAGCCTTCAAGAGGTGTGTAGGAGTGCTGTGTGGCCACTGACATGTGCTGATAATAAACGTCTGTTTTTTCTTTTAGTAGACAATCATTTATTACCTCCTGGAAATTTGTAAGATCAAAGCAGAGTACTGTGCGTTATAACATGAGTTTAAGGAAGTGCTTTTTTGTTTTAGTTTTCATTCAGTGATTGAGTAATGACTCTGCTTTCTCTACTAACAACTGCAAGGCAACTATTGTAAATATTTATCTTCTAACAGTACAATATGTTTATTATACTTGCATCTAAATAATAAAAAATATTTATACTCAACTTTTGAGTTTGTTGTCTGCCTCTACACACAATTCTCTCTACTAAAGTAATTTGTAACCATTAAAAGTCTTCAAAATGGTGGTGATGCGTTAAGTACCTCAAAAATATATTCTACCATTTTTTAATATGCAATATTATACATGCAATTTCAATGCTTCCAAAAATTAAGATGTTAAAATGTTTTTACTAAAGATTTCTATTTCAAATATATGCTGTTTTATCAAAGAATAATAAAAAATGTATCATGGTTTCCACAAAAATATTAAGCAGCACATCCGTTTTCAATATTGATAATAGTAAACACTTAATACTGGAGTTATTGCTGCTGAAAATCAATGAAACACGATGCTTTACAATCACAGGAATAAATGAGTGAAAACAGCTATCTTAAGTTGCAAGCCTACTTTACAATATTGCTGTTTTTACTGTATGTGATAACATAAATGCAGCTATGATGAGCATAAGAGACTTCTTTCAAAACATAAAAAATGTTAACTGATCCCAAACTTTTGAATGGTAGTGTTCATAACAATTGTTATACGTCAGTGATTTTGAGCGTATTCTTTGCTTTGTCTTGAAATTATAAACATAAAAATGCCTCCGTACTGAAACTACTGAAAACAATAGCACAATGTTTTAAATGAGATGTTGACCCTTTACTCCCACAAGAGGGAAACCTCAGTTCACTGGGGAATCTGAAAGGGCTTAAACTGACACAATGGCCATATATTATAAGAATTAATTGCAAGTAGTTTTGCAGAAAAATGTGTCTTGATTTTCTTTATACTATTAGGTTTTTAAAACAGACATTGTTGTAATAAAACGTTGACAGTCTGTTAAAATTGCATTTGAAACTGTGATCACAGAGTAGGACAAATGTAATTTTTCTTCCCATTAAGGATCTCACTCTAAATCTAACAACCCTTTGTTAAAACTTTAAAGGTTTTCGCCTTACAGCGACGTCTGTGAGTTTCTATGGAAACACCTGTTTCTTGAATGAAATTGAGACCCTCCTATGTTGGAACACTACGTTAGATGACCTCTGACCTGCTTTAAAAGAGCTTGACAATATAATGAACACTAGGGGGCAAAGCTATGCATTCAAGAACAAGATAAACCAGTAGGATTTTTTCTTTTTGCAAACAAGGTCCATGTTTTATGTAACTTTTAAAAAAGTAAATAAACTTTTATTTCAATTTTTGAAAGTTAGACATCTAATGTTGACCCTGTTGGCCTTTTCTCAAACTTGATTTACTTCTTGCTTCTAAAGAAGCAACGCTTTAGGTAGGCATGGTTGACTCTTAAAATTTTATAAAGAATATCTCTTTGGATTTGAGACTTTAGTCTTTGCAACTTTACAGATCTTCTTTATGCACCAAGAGCTTGTAACACTCTAAAGAGAAAGGAAAAATTGAAATCGCATCATATGACCCCTTTAAGTCTCTACCTGGAGACAGAATAGACTCCTTATTGTCCCTGTGAAAATTCCTCTCAGAAGACCCGGATCTGATGTGCAGGTGTGCAGGGCCTTATGGAGTCACATTCTTTGCAAGCCCACAAGGGTTATTTTATTATGCTTTTAGCTACACTGTTTAATTAGCGTTTCTTTGCTCAATAGTTTTCTTCTTATTTCAGTGTTGTTTTAAATGTATTGTGAGAGATATTTTTATAGAATGGTATGCATAAAATGATCCTACTTCGTGAAAAAATTAAATATTTCTATTACAATGTGGAAATAACTGTCCTGTGTCTCTGTGACAGCCCTATAAACAGTAAAATAAAAGTGAGTTTTTAGCCAATCAGAACGCGCTTTCTGTCTGTCAATCATTTTTTACGTTCTCAGTGGGCGGTCCATATATGGGAAACCGGAAGCTGAGAGCGTGTGTTACATGAACTTGGGAGTAGTTTTCGCGAGTTTGCGAAAGCCAAAATTCTTAAAAGGGGTTAGGATAACAGAGAAAAGGAACAGACTAAAACTGACAGAACCAAACAACGAGAGTGAACGAGAGTGAACATCGGTTAAACTTTTCATCGCTGGAGGAAACTTCAAAAGTTTAAATCGCTCGCGAAGCTTCGCTGACAGGTAAAAATACCTTGGTTACGCCAAAGCCGCGGGTTTGTAGAAAGAGGGGCGTGTCTAATTCTGCTGAAGTTCTAAAATTGCTAGTTTATTAGATGTTTAAATGCGTTCCCTATAATAGTTTTACAGATTTACAGCCAAATCAGATCATAAAAGTAAAGTAAACGTTTTTATGAGGCTATATAGCCTAATGTATATTTATATAATAGATATATATTATATGGCCTGGAGTCCAGCCCAATAAATAGCCTACACTTAATAAGGTTATAAATAAAGTTAGATACTTTATTAACATAATAAAATATAGTGTATGTGAAAGAAAGCACTAATTGGAAGACACATTTGAAACTTTTATTTTGCACTAACTGGAAGACACATTATAGAGCTGTTTTTACAGAACAAGGGAAATAACCTTCAGTCAACGTAAGGGAAAATGGCAAGGTTTATGCGACTTTGAGGTAAAGAACACCATACATGTATAGTACAAATCTATACAATTAATACACGAAACAGAAGATGAAATTCAGTAGTTTTTAAACAAATCACAGTATAGTTTGCTATATTAAGATATAATAACGTGGGATCTAACGTTACCCTTACATCAATGACTTTTCAACAGTTCTATGCACACACTGGCATCAAACTTTCCAGAATTTTCATTTCACATTCATGCAGCTATACACATCTTGGGTCAAAAGAACAGAAAAGCCCACCAGAGCACAACAATACACATAGTAGCAGAAATGCTTCTATATGGATCTGCTGTTTACATATTTTATTTCTAATGCAAAGGACAACTTATAAGTTGTGCTTTTAAAGTGCAACATGCGTTTTAGGGAATGCACACTTCTGATTTCAGTCTTTAAAGAATGGCAGCATAAAAAATATGATGTTGGGATTTGTGATTTATCATCCACTGGAACTGTCGTGATGACCTTGAGCAATATTCAGTACCTAAAGCACAAATATACCATATAATCAATGAAAGAAAATGGGGCTAGAACACTCATTGTGACTGTTTTAGAATCCAAAATCAAATATGTCTAAAATAAAATTGGGGTTGAGTCACTGTTTTGATGATTCAGATTTATCAAAGCAAAATCCCTTCTGTGATACAAAACAACCCATATTATTCAGCTTGCTCCTCTGTTTGGTACACTTTTTGGTCAAACTTATATAGTTTAGTTTATTTATTCGGTTTAAAACATTGTCTTGGGTTAAGGAGCCAGAGCTGTTGGCATCAATCTAATCTCCGATGCCAAAGAACATTTGCAAAGTCAAATTTCAGAGGACTCAATCCTCTCTATCCAGGGCAGACCAGTGTGCAGCTTAGCTTCTTGTAAAGCCCCGCCCTCATCTCTGCCCCCTGACCCCACCTCTTCAACTCTTGCCCTGCCCCCTCTCAGCATTGCCAGTTCTCTCTCTAAGGCCTCATTCTTGTGGTGCATCTCCAGGTAACTGGCCTGCAGTTCCTTCTGGTAGCGTATCACCTTCTCCTTCTCATTCTGCCACGTGCTCCTCTCAATTTCAAAAGCTGAAGCCTGCGCCTCGTTCTGCCGCCTTTCCAGCAGCAGTTCAGCTCTGAGACGCTCCTCCGTAGCACTGGCTCCTCCAGTCTCACCCGCATCTGCTCGATGCTCCTCGAAAGCAGGCAAGGGGCATTTCCGCCGGGCACCCTGTAGGGCCATCTGTAGCATGTCGATCTGACTGTCCTTGCTCCGGATCTGATTGCGTGCCTCATGCAGCTGAGTCTTTAAGAGGAAGATTTCACTCAGCTTCTGTGTAACCTCTGCCTGAGAGTCCCGAAACTGTTGCTTCAGTAAAGAGATTTCTCCAGACTTTTGGCAAACCTATCAGAGAAATACAATTTAGTAATTTATTACAGCTTATACAATACACAAAATACGATTTGAAAAGATTGTTCATAACAAGGCTGTCTAGGATGGTTGCTGTCCTTTGTTTTAATTATGAAAGGCTCACAGGGGTTTGTTCAGACAGGCAACTAAATCTTTTTTTTCCCAAACAATTTTTTTTGTCATTTCTGATTTAAAACCATTTAGTTGTTTGTACAGTCTGAAAAGTGAAAAGAAAACAAATGAAATCTGATCTGAACCACATTCATATGTGGTTTGAAATCTGATTAAAATTATTTTTTATAAATACATTTCATTATATATATATATATTATTTAATATATATATATGTGTGTGTGTGTGTGTGTGTGTGTGTGTGTATATATATATATATATATATATATATATATGGGTAATTTCATTTAATATTATATTTGTATATTTAATTATATATACAACGTGTCAATTCACTTCCATCTGCTTCTATAAAATATATTTATCTATTTTTTTCTCTCTATGTAGTCCGTAAACAATTCAGTGGTTTTGGATGCCTGTGGCGAGATTTCCATAAAATCTCAAAGGAAAAAAATCTGTAATTTCCATTTTCTCTGTACAATGATATATACTTTTTAATTCCTTTTTTTGTCTTTGTCTCTTTTTTGTCTTCAAGTCATTACTATGGCAACTGATATATCGAATAGTGACTAAACTGTTTGAACAAGTGGCTCTTATTACTTGCAAAATGACAGTGTGGACAGTCAGCCTTAAACATCTCAGTGGCTACGTTTACATGCACAATTTTTGGTTCAATCGGACTGAATTCATTCCGATTGATGAATCAGAATGTAGTGTTTACATGAACGCTAAATAAAGTGATCGGGTTGATGTGAATTTTTGGTTCAATCGGACTGAATTCATTCCGATTGATGAATCTGAATGTAGTGTTTACATGAACGCTAAATAAAGTGATCGGGTTGATGTGCGTGTTTATATGTCACAAGCTTCAAATCGGAATTGATTTTCTTTTACATGCGCACACTGCACAAATATAGATTTTCTCACTGTTTGCACATAATAACCACTCTCCTACATGGTTTATTTATTTGTTTTTAACATCAGAATTAATATTTATTAATTTATGGATAAATATACATATAAACCGCTGTGCCGTGCTGCTCATATTTATCACACAGTAAAAATGCCCCTCCCCGCGCCCAAAATTTTATAATGACAGGACATGCATTTATACAACACTTTATTCAAAAGGAAGAACCGCTCGTTCTGCGTGTCATACGTCATTACGCTCTTTCTGCGTCATTGCACATGCACAGTTCTTTCAGTTTCGGGGTTCAATCCGATCGAGTGTTTACATGCACTCTCAATCGTATTAGAAAAGGAATAAACCACCCCCTTCAATCCTTCAGAGCTCAATCGGATCAGTTAAGGTGTTCAATCCGATTACAAATGGATTATTTGGTTGCATGTAAACATAGCCATTTAGATTTGTGTTCAGTGTGAACAAACTAACAAGTATACATGATACGTTTATCTTGCAACTAAAATCTATTTCTTTCTTTTATCTCTTGCAAACTTTTCTGAAATCCCCAGAGCTTTGGACAGATAGCTCTGACTTAATGCATACCTCCCATTGGGTCTCTTCCAGCTGGGGATTAATGCTTTGGCTTTGTGCCGCTGGGCTTTGACTTCTCAGGGTCTGGCACTCCAGCCTGACAGAATCCAGCTCCTCCTGCAGCCGGTTGCGTTCCTGCTGTGCCTTATACAGCTGCAGCTGCAGGTTTCTTTGTGAACGCTGGGACTGCTGGGATACCTGCCGCAGTTTGGCGTTGTACAGGTGTTTCAGTTCTGTCACTTCCTTCTCCCAGAGACGCTGCTTCTCTTCAAAAACCTACAGGAGGACACACACAGTTTTAAATTTTATTATAGTTTTTATTTTGTAATAATGGTAATGTAATGCTTTATTTTCAATCTCTTTCATTTTTCAGTATTTTCAGGTTTGCTTATTTTTTCAGTATATTTACTTCTTTTTTTTTTTTAGTTGTAATATTTGTTTATGGCCTATGTTTACCTAAAATTATTTAAATATATTGTTTTATAAGGTATCAACCTTTTTTTTAAATATATATATTAAACCTATTTTTTTTAAAGAAATGAATACTTTTATTCAGAAAATATGCATTAAATTGATCAAAAGTGGAAGTGAAGACAAATATATATTCTTTAACCATGTTACAAAATATATCTAATTAAAATAAATGCTGTTCTTTTGAACTTTGTATTCCTGGAAGAAATTTATTATTTTTTCCATAAAAATAATATGCAGCACAACTGTTCTCTACATTAATAATAATAATAAATGTTTTTCTTAAGCAACAAATCACCATATTTCTGAAGAACCATGTGACACTAAAGACAGGAGTTATGATGCTGAAAATTCAGCTTTTCCATCACAGGAATAAATTACATTTTAAAATATATTCAAATAGAAAACTGTTATTTTAAAATGTAATATTTTTTCACAATATTACTGTTTTTACTGTAATTTTTGATCAAATAAATGCAGCCCTGGTGAGACAAACTGACAAAAAAGAAAAAGAAAAATATACATAAATTACATATATATTGTATAATGTATTATGAAAACTAGCACAGTTATTATTATTATTAATATGAATTTATCATAAGCATATTTTTACTTTATATTGTGAAATATTAATTTTTATAATAATATTTCACAATATTATTATTAAATATATGCAGCATTGTTGAACATAAGAGAAATTAAAAACATGAAAAAAATCAATCTTAAAGATGCTGACCTGTGCAACAGCGTCTTCGCTTTCATCCAGGTTCCTCCTCATCTGACGTAGCTCGTTCTCTTTTTCCTGCAGACGGTCCTCCAGGTCCCTCACCACGTCCTCCAGAGAGTGCGACAGCTCGTAGGGTGGCGGGGCCTCGTTTCCATAGCACTGCAGGCGGTTCAGCGTAGCCATACTCTGACAGGACACGTCTGTGACCATGGAAGCGGCTCCCTTGGAGCCAAGCGAGGTGCGATCTAGTGAGCCGATGTGGTTGATGTGACCCATAGAGGCACTGATTTGTCCCAAGTGAGGGCGGAACGGCGGCCGACAAGGCGGCAGGCTGTTCATGGAATTGTGCCCCGAGTCGGATGTGTTCTCCTCTTCCTGGCTGAGGCCCCGGGCTGCTGCTAGCACGCCTTTGCTGACACTCACGCCTGGCCGTGAAGGGGAGGACGACGAGGAAGAGGTGGACAGCGATTTGGACGCTGCTTTGGCATAGGACGGATGCATGCCGTTGGTTAAGCCGCTCTCTACCTCCTCTGACTTGGAGGGGTAGAGGTTCTGCATTGAACTGCAGTTTTTTGGGGTGACCGGTTTAAAGGCGGAAGGCCTGAATCGTGGCTGTGAAATGAAAAGGATAAGTCAATTGCAGCATGTGCATCAGGAGAATAGATCTACACTTAAATATTGGAGCCATGCCAAACAACATAAAGTAATTTGATGTAGACCACTTTTACTTTCATATTTCTTTGGTCTCGCTGAATTTCCTGCTCAATAACGTCACCTGAGGGAGACCATATTTGATTACAGAGATAAATTTAGCCAGCAGAGGCTAGTCAGTTAGTCTACACGCTGCTGGCCCGAACAGTTTATATGATTTATTTCCGTTTGAGACCGTGGGGAGTAGCCCACCTATCAATAAATTACACTTGCCTCAAGAAGAAATATTGCCCTTATGGAGCCAGACTGGAAACATTGTCACGATTTCTGCATTTCATTGACAGGCTTTGAAACCACAACGAGGAACCTATTCATCTTGTTTTAATCCAGTCATTGTAAAGTGTGTTTTTAAAGGGGTCATATGATGCGATTTAAATTAGCAGTGTAGAGTAGTGCTTGTTGTTTGTCGTTTCTCCGATCACAAATGCAGACATGGTTTGTGGTCATGGTTATGTTTACGCGGCGCGATACGCAACGCAACGTGTAAGAAGACAGTATAAGTCATTATAATCAGTAATTATGTCCCCACTGGATGCCTCGTTTGTAATTGGTTTTAATGTTTTTGTCTCGTCTCTCGTCGCGCCGGTACACGGCATCACAGTATGGTAAGGGGCGGAACATTTCCGCCACACGCTTGAGGCATTCAGCAAATTACAAAGCACTGGATAGCTGGCCAATCAGAGCACACCTCGCTTTTCAGACCGATGAGCTTTGTAAAAATCGACGCGTTTCAGAAAGGCGGGGCATAGAGGAGAAGAGTGTTTTTTGAACCTTAAACCGCATAAACACATT